AAAAACCCAAAACCAAAACAAAAGCAAACGAACAAGGAACCCCCCCCCAAAAAAAAAGCTCAACAAACAAACCCAAACCCCAAAAACCAAACAAAACAAAAAACCCGGAACCTGCCAACGACACTGACCAACCACGTCATTTTAGTTTAGCTTTTAATAGATTTTGATGGCACTTGCAACAAAATTAGGTCACACAAGTGCCGAAGATTAGAGGTGTTAGAAAATATTAACAAACACTTAAAAAAAAGGGGGGGGGGTTCGATGTCGAGGTTCTGTCGTCTGCTTTCGTCTCTACTTTCTGCCCCCACCCCTTCACGTCTTTTGCCTCCTCCTCTGGGCTCCGGACTCTTTCTGCAGCTTGTCTACTGCTACTCATTAGCTCCTTCTTACTGCTGCTGTCTTTCAGCCACACCCCTGATCTTATGGTAGGAAAGATCTACACCTAGCATTCTCGGATAAGGGCGAAACATCTCGGAGGTCCCGTGTGCAAGTTGCGCACGTTAAAGATGTTTGGTGGTCAAAATTCGATAAGAGTAGGCTTTGGCCGCCACCCAACCAAAATTTTTAATTTTTTACTAGCTTGAAATGTTTAATGTGTACCACGTGCCCATATGACCTTATGCAGTTGCGAGAGCCCCCCCCCCCCCCAAAAAAAAAGGAGGAGAAATAAAGACGAAAGATGTTTTATAGCAAAGAATGAGCAAACCAGACCAGAGCACCCGCCAAGCACCCACCGTGCCCTTTTATGATTTGTTTCCTCACAGTTTCGTTACATAACATAAGCGAAGAGAAACACTTCCAAATGGCAATGGCCAGTTTGGAAAAGTAAAACAAAAAGAAGAAAACAGACAGAAGCAAAAGAGGGGAAAGAAAGAAAGTACATGTAGGATCTATCGGTTGGGTCCTCCAACTACCCGCCGCACCATTATAAGTCAGATCAGATAAATCTTTATTGACCAGACTCTGACATTAAAAGCTGCAGAGCTGGCCTACCATAGAAAACTGCATCTCCCCTCGACGCTTAACGGCAACAGAGGATGAAAAAGTAAAAAGTAAAGTAAGTACAAGGGAGTAACAAACACAGAAAGATGGAGGCGGAGGGGAGATAAGGGCGATAGGAATGAAGATGCAAATCCCAACAGAGCACCTGCCAACAACCCACAGTACAGGGAGAGAGTAGTAGTAGTAGTAGTAGTAGCAGTAATAAAATACAACAACACACAAATGTTTACATAGTACATGTATCTTGAAAAATTTATTTCCGTATGAATTGATATGACTATCCAGTGGAGGAGACAGGGGCAGTATCACCTCAATGACATAACACCACAAAGTGTCAGGAATAAGACCAGACCACATTTCACATTGCACTGTAAAAATTTGATCAAATGTGGCTGGGCTGCATCAAAAATACACCAAAAAAATACAATCAATAAAATAGAAAAAAAAAAAAGATCATTCTGCTGTTAACCTTGTTTGCAAAAATCAGAAGACAATAATATACAAGATGTTTTTTAATTAAAAGACTGTCAACAATTATTATCTAAATAGCACAAGCCAAATGTTTTAAAAGAATAATAAACAAACAACAACAAAAAACACCCAACTACTGGCAGGCAATAATAACAATTTAGGTCAATGATTCAATATGCTCACCCTCTCATTTTCAAGAAACATTAGATACTAATTATATAAAGATCTATGCAAACATTTCATGAGAAATAGCAGCAGAGCATGAATATAAAGCAAAAGTGTAAGAAAAGTTTATTAAGATTTTTAACACAACCATGTTGTCCGATCTGAAAATTCTGCTACTGATACACTGGTTGAAACTGTGGTTTCTGATTGATACTCAATAACAACAAGCACAGACACACAAAATTAATACAAACAATGGAAACTGCTGTATCCATCTGAAGTAAAAAAAAAAAGTAAGTGTATGGGTTTAAAGCCCCTATCAACACAATTAGGTTATTCAAGAGGTGGGACCTCCAAATTTCACATCCGTCTCCAGTGGGGAGCAAGCAAAATGGGTTGAGAGCTTTGAAAATTCCACAAAATGATCAGAGTTCAAGAATGCCCTGTCTGGGATTTGATCCAAGGCCATCCACTTTGATTTCTAACATGATACCAGCTGAGCAAATGGAGTGCCCTGGGTCTGAAATAGTACTAGAAGACAATTATGAATCTCTTACAAAGGGTGAAAAGGACAAGAGCAGGTCACAAAACAATTTAGACCATTACACAGAATCAGAAAAGACAAAAAAAAAAGACACTGGATCAGTATAAACAGTTAAGTAAAGGGAACAGTAAAAAATACACCATGACACGAAGTTCAATAGACCTGTGACACGAAGTTCAATAGACCTGTGCCGACATCTTCAATTCACGACAATAGCACCCCAGCTTTAAACTTCAGTTTAAAAATTATTTTGCTTCACAGTTTAAATAATATAGTAATGTGGAGGTGAGCCTGTCATGTTGAGACGCCTTCTGTATTACTCTATATATACATACAGCTGAACCTGCTCAAAAGGCCTGTTAGACAATCACCTGTACAAATGGCCACTTCCCACTAACCCCCTTGCAGTTTTCCTATACTATAATGACATTGTCCGAGATGTCCACCTGTCCAAGACAACCACTTTCTCCTCAACAAGGGTGGCTGTCCTAATATAACAATACATTTAACTTACTTCTACTTTTCAATTCAATAACCTCGACCATTTTTTTCGTATGGACATTGTACGATCTTAAAGATTTTTAAATACAGGGAGCGAAATGCTCCCAAAAATTTACTTAAATGATCTCAGCAAAACATTTGTCAAGTTCACCCTCAAGACAAAGAAACATATTGCAATTGTGTTTTCATTCATCGAGGACACAAATTCTAGTCACTAGACAACGTTTAAATATGCGCTTTTAGGGAGGGGGGGAATTTAAATACAAAGGCATTACTTGAATATTTATACAGATTGTGTAATACTGTTTCCTTTATATCTGAAGCCTATAAAACAGGCAATAAAATACATGCATTATGAAATATACCAATGTTTGTTTCTTTTTAGTGTATAATGGTTCCAAATATGAGATGAAACACTGTTTGCTGATGATTAGACACGTGTCCACTTCGTCATTAGAGAGTTAAGTCTTCATTTCTCAGGCCCTGTTGAGCAGGAAAGGAAGAAAAGCAGGTTCTGCACTTTGTACTACTGGCAGTTCTCAAGTTATAATAATACAAACTTGCTCAATTAATGGCAGTTCTCATATTTGTATAATTGCTTTCCTGGTTCAGGATTTTACTGTGCAAAGATTTTGCCCTGAACTTTTGAGTAAAAATTGACCAGGAGATTTTAGTATAAGGGAGTAGACATTTAAGGTTGAAGACATTATAAATCCAAGCTAACAAGCAGACATAAACACCACACATTGTTCAATGATAACTGTTGCGTCAGAATAGTGCAAACTGGAGGAAAGAACAAATATCGTATCACTAAGGGAAAAATCTGTTCCAAGCAAGCGATTTGGCTGGCATGCATAGCTTTGATGCCTGCATGATCAAAGCACACACTTCATAAGGCCCTTCCAGGCCACACACATCTCACAATCACAGTCACAATATCAAAAAGACTCTCTCCCTTTCACACTTTAAGTCCCAGTGGCAGGTCCAGCCATAGCCATACACAATCTCCGAAGCACACATTATGACCGTGTTCTCCCGTCTTTTATTCGTGTGTCGAGCAGCGTTTGAGACAACTTATGTAGCGACATCTTCAAATTAAATACAACAACAAACTACTGCATCCTTTTTTTTTCACGCGTCACTTGAGTTTATGATTTTCTCGATTCTAAAAGAAAGTTGCGAAATCAAGACGTCCATGAAACGTTAAAAGTGGTGCAACTGCATTGGAGCACATGACACCGGGGCACTCAAATTGCAAATTCAAAATATTAGTAAAATAACGAAATAAACAAAAACAAGAAAACAACCCAGTGTGCAATATTTCTTCAAGAAATTCAAGTCTTCTACTGAATTATTTCCAGTCACTGTTTTTTTTCAAACTTTCTGATACATTATATCCGACTCTGTAAGTCAGCCACAGCACTCCTACTTACATACCAAAATAGCTGAAGTAACCTTGTGGTGGGATGAGAATAAAAAATGGCTCATAATGATAATAATAATAACAAAATCACCTACACACATTTTGGAATCTTTCTCTTATTATTCATTAAAAAACAATCATTTGCGGCAATTTTTTCCAAAACATATAAAAAAAAAGAGAAGATAACGTAAGATAAGATAAGATAGAATAAGATGAGACAAGATAATACTTTATCGTCACTGAGGACCAACCCACCAACCTACATTAACAAACCCTTAACAGTGTAGAATCTACGTTTTCTTTTTAAAAATTCTTTGTGAAAACATGGTAGAGCATACAAAACCATACAGCGTACACAGTAGCATAGGTAGCTATGAACGGAAAATACAAATCAGTTTTGGTACAAAAGGAAGGTGGTTCATCATAGCCTTTGCCTTTGCATAAAGAATTGGTACTTGTGAGTAGCTAAAAACTATCAAGACAAAAGCATGCTGTTGCTGCCACATGAAAAAATGGCTACTTCCTTTTGCCCCTGCCTCTCATGGTAAGCCTGTAGTAAATGCTGTGGCTATTTCAGAAAACTGAAGGTACTGTTGCCTTTGAAATCTCCAGATATTTTAATTATGGGCTATATTCATCTGATGGTTTCAGTTCTAAATAACAAGGTTTAACTCCAGTTTTGTTTGTTGGTTTTTAAAAATGTTTTTCAAGAAATCATTTCAATAGTGCTTAGATTCCCTTTAGAACTTACCCCATCCATCAATATTTCTCAGTTTGAAGACTGTTCAGTACCGTAAACAAAACAACATCATTGGATTTCTATTGAAAGAGAAACACTCCAGATCTGCCTGCTCCCTCCATGATTAAAATGAGAAAGTCTCACAGAGTAACAAGTCCCAGGAAGAGAAAAAAGAAAATATCCCTCCAAAATTGACTAGGATTGAGAAACTTTTTGACGACTTTGATTAGAATGGTTAACCCTTACAGCTGCAGCTGTGTACCTCACGAGTTCTCGTTTCCCTAAGTCCCAGTCGCATGTATGTATAATATATTTCCTTAACAGGGCACTGGCAACCTCAAACCATGTAGCATATTTTTACCGTAATCGATCCAAACGTCTCTGAAAAATATTTTTCACGTAATCTTCTTAAGTTGTATTGAAGGCAGTGAAGAAATGTGTTTTATGTTTGCAAAAAGTTGCTGACGCAATATCAGTATTGTTGGGGCTGAGTAGTCAAGGACTCCAGTATTATTTATCTGTGCCACAGGGAAGTGAGGGCTAAAAATAGCCTGGTGCTGTAAGGGTTAATTACAAATTGCACGAGTAAACATAATTTAAAGTAAAACCATGTGTGGGAAGAACTGAGAAATCTATAGAGTCAAATTCCATATAGGAAAAAAAAAAGTGCCTATTGCAAAAGTGATGAGATGTTCAGAACAAAGGGAGACGTGTCTACAGTTGTGATACGCTGTTAAAAAACAACAACAACAACAAATGTTTAAGGAATGAAAATATATTGAATTTATACATTCTTCTGCCCTTTAGTTTGTGTTAATTTATCACAACACTGGTGAATAAATACTATCTCCCACAAACAAATGGCACATAAAAAAGAGCGTACCATCTAGTTGAGAAAAATGTTCACAGCCAAAACATTTCTAGATCCACTTAATTATTAGCCTATCTTAGCACATCGAACAGAAAAAAAAAATAATGAAAAAACCATTTTACATTTCAAACATTATTAGAAAAATAAAGCGAAGCACACATTTGCCAAAAGCAAAACAATGTCCCATTCATGGCACATGGGCGTTAATTTTTCAACTATTTCACTCAAAACAGGTCATTTCAGACTCACAAAAAGCTCAGGATTTATTCATTTATCTTCACACATCCATTCCCAGAACAAACATCTCACACTGTTTTTTCCTCTCAATACCTCATTGGTGTTCATTTCTATGGCTTCATTGCAGGCTCCAACAACAACAACAACAACAACAACAGCAAAAACAGCAACATCATCAGAAAGCACGTCATAGTCCCTCCGGCGTGTCGGGAACCTCGTATCTGGCACCGTTCACCTGACAACAGAAATATGGTTTTTATTATATGAGAGAGACAAACAGAAATATTTTTCATAATAATATTAAGTAGTGAGAAAGATAGACAGAAAAATGTTTTATATTTCTCAGGGTAGTAACTCAAGTATTGTTGTAAGTTGTGACTTTGGTGAAAATGACTTTCTTTTTACATCTTGCATGGGGCTGAGGAGCACATGCGCTGTAAAAAGAGCAGTCACATGATATTATAGTGAAAATACTCATCAAACTGATATAGTGGAGAAAAATAACTTTTTTATTCCTCCTGCTAAATTGGATAAACCAGAGTTATGACAATTGTGCTGCTACCCTGTGAATCAGCAGTGAAAGAGACAAACATAAATATGTTCTATACAGTCGAACCTGCCTTAACGGAAACCTGTATAAAACGGAAACCTGTCTTAACGGAATCTCCCCGCTCCCCCCTTGATATATTCCTCTTTAATTACCTGTATAAAACGGAAACCTGTCCAACGCGGAAACGGAAAGAAAAATCCGCTCACTTCCGAGGGTTTCACCTGTCTAAGACGGAAAATGCTTTGCCCGCTCAGCCCTGATATGAAACAAAACTCGCAAGTTTAGTTCCGTCGGCTATAAACTTAACGCAATGGCCATGCTGCTGGACGAGGAAGGGGAGTAGGGGTGCAATTAGGGGGTAGATATTACCCCATCATGTGAGCCCTGGGCGATGCAGATGGTCAGTGTAGTGTGGGTGGGAAATCTGACGACTGTCCGTGAGAGTGCTCGAGTAGCGAGCCACTACGGAAACTTTCCTGAGTAGCCAGAAGCCAGAGGTGTGAAATTAGATTGACCAATGCCAGCAGAGAAAAGAGTTCCTCGAATCGTTGTTACAATGATGGCAGTGAGGGGTGGCACCTTTGAGTGGGGCTAAGGGTGGAAGCAAAGGAGATGTTCAAACGTTTCTGTTTTTAATAGGTCAAAGAGTGGTCCTATGAAAAGCAAGCACTGGTGGTAATTGGACAAGTAAGACTGACGCATGTCATTATCAGACAGGATAGCAATTGAGAGGTGTGAAGTTTTGACCACTGCTTGCCGATCGGACAAGCGATCCTTGGTCCCACCGGCTGGGCTTTTGAACCCCCCCCCCCCCTAAATTCCCCTGTCTAAGACGGAATTTTCCCCCCGCTCCCTTGTGATTCCGTCTTACACAGGTTCGACTGTATTTAGCAGTGAGAGAGACATAGAGAAATATGTTTTATATTTAGCAGTGAGAGACAAACAGAAATGTATTCTACTTAGCAGTGGGAGGGACATTAAAATTTTTTTTCTATTTAGCAGTAGTGGAGACATAAAGAAAAGTTTTCTATTGAGCAGTGAGAGAGACAAACAGAAAAGTTTTCTATTTAGCAGTGAGAGAGAGAGATGAGAGAGAAAATTCAGAGGCGTTTTCTATTGAGCAGTCTGAAAAAAAAAAAAACCGAGCACAGCCGCACAGACCTGTATGTCGTGCTCGTGGACAAACTGGGGGATGTCGATCTGGTCGGGGCTCATCTTACTGTACAGGAACTGGACACCCTTAAGGCTGTGCACCTTGGGCTTGATGTCCGACGCCGTGAAGGTGGTGAAGAACCATGTGGCCAGCTGTGCAGGAGAGAGATAGTGCCAGAGATTTTTTGATTTGTGGTTTTTCTCTCTTTTTCTTTATATAATGCACCACAAAATGCAGCAGATAAAAACCTGTAAATTCTTTGCCATATCAACAGGCCGAAGGGTTTGAACTAAAATGGCCGCTGGATCGGAAAAGAAAAGTTAAGTTCTTTTTTTTTTCATTTTCTTTTGTCATGTGTCATTATTTTGGGTGCCATGTTAATGATCTTATTCGCATCAGACAATCATTGACTACGAGAATGTGTGTCAGTAAATATAAGGGATGGCAGTGGGAATTTGTGAAAATACCTGAAAAATGTACAAAGTTGCGTTTGCTCACAAACAGACATTTAAAAGACACAACTTATATGGGGTTAAACAGAAAACAAATGTTTGGAATAATAACTGTTCTTTTAGTGAAAAGCAGCATAAAAAATAACATCCCTATTAATACGATGATACTTCAACAGTAAGTGGAAACAATAAGAGATTTAAATAAAAATAATTAGATCCATTTGTTAATATTTCATTATTTAATTCACTAATTTTTTGCTAAATTTCTGTTGCCTATGGGGGGGGGGGGCAGAGCACTTTTCCACTTTCCTCAAACTGAGAGGCCAGATTTTGAAGCTATTTGAGTGTCACCAACCCTATCAATTAATACGGGAAAGCACAAAAAAAAAAAATCACATACAGCCAGCGATAGATGCAGGAGAATAAAAGCTTACAACACTTTCAGTATTTTTTAAAAACAGACTTAGGCCAGCATCGTTTGAATTTTCAGCGTTCGCAAACATACTTAATAAAATGTTGATGTCATTCATCATTGTCGTATGTCAAAAGACAATATTTTCAAAAAAAGAAAAAAAACAACCCTGTCTTACTTCGGGCAGGACATTTGCCAAACTCTATAACATTCTCAATTTTCATTAAAAAAAGTTGTGGCATACTATAATGGAGTGCGCTCATATGACCTTATGCAGTTGCAAGTGTCGTACAACACTTACCAAAACAAAACAAAAAAACAACCCCAATAACAACAACATCAACCCCCCCAAAAAAAACCCCCAAGAACAACAAAAATGACAATGATGAATGATGGCAACAAAAATGATGCGCTGCCCCAATGCTTTAGGGCATGTCTTACCTTTGACCACCAGGTGGGATGGACGATATAAAACTGTTTAAGATTTTTCTTGTATCTGAAAAGAAAATGAAAAAGCAACAGACTATGAGCAGAGAGCTTTTTCCACTCAGCAACTTACTTGATGGTAAAAGATTTACATTCCCATCGTCACAAACCCAATGTCATTAGCAGTTTAAAAAAAAATATTATAGTTGAAATCATCCATGACAGCCACGAGAGAAGTGATTATCTTAGACAGTTTTAGTAACAGTTTTACGGCACTAGCAACACAATAAGGTCATGTAAGTGCCGAAGATTAGAGGTGTAACAAGGGAGTAACAAACACAAAAAAGAATGAGGGGAGATAAAGAAGATAGATGTTAGATAGGAAAGAAGAAGCAAACCACACCAGAGCACCCGCCAACCACCCACAAACTTAGGTTAGCAGCCACAAATAGAAAACAATGATGAATATTCACATTATCATCTTAAAGAGTATATAAATCAATTGTAAGAAGCACTGCAACTTCACAACAACAATTTGAGTTTGAGTTAAGAGAAACACATCGACACATAATGGTCATATTATAGTGCAGGGAGGAAGCAAAACAGATAGACAGAAACAACAGAGGGAAAGAAAAGAATCAGGACCAACCAGTGACACCCTCCAACCACCTGCCTTCACAGTAACACATAAATTATGAGACACCGTGGTGAAATCTGAAAAATTTTTAGGTAGAGTATAACGGCACTTGCAATACAATAGCATCATATTAGTGCTGAAGATTAGAGGTGTTCCAAGAGAGTAAAAAGCACAAAAGAGAAGGAGAGGTCAGGATGATAGATGTTCGCTAGGAAAGGAGCAAACCACACCAGAGCAGCCGCCAACCACCCGTGTGGTGAAATCAGGAGCTCGTCAAAATAATGAAATCGAAGATATCAGCATTTTCACACCGGTTGGGCAATTTTTATCAAATTTATGTTTTTGCGCCCAACACCTTTTATGTCTATTCAAAAACACATTTCCGGGTGTACTTTACAGAAAAACACTAGTTAAAGGCACAAAAAGTTAAATCTTTCAGTTTCCAAGGACTCTCAAGCTACAGAGGTCACCAAACTTTGGCGGCCATTTTCTTGCTAATTTTTCCTCTGAAACCAGGCAACCCCTACCTCCTTCAATAGTAAATATCTCAACTTGTACTCAAGATAGATGGCCTGTTTTTTTTCATCAAAAGATAGATGACTGAACAAGCTTTAAGATGATACCAATAACTCCACATGCCCAAAAATTGACAAGCATCTGATTCCACCAAGTCGTGACACAATGTACTTGTTTGACTGTGTGAAAGAAAAACTAGTGCAGAGTGTACCTGTGATCTAGGAAGCTGTACACCATTTTGAGGTAGTTCATCGGGGGCTGGTTGGCTCCGGAAGTCAAGGTGTGGAAGTAAACCAGGACAAAGTCGGTCTCCACCACCGGGTCCATCACACGGATGAGATACAGGAGAACCTAAGAGAAGATAAAAGACATGTTTAGTTTTCGTAAGAGTTTTACGGCACTTGCAACACAAATAAGGTCATATAAGTGCCGAAGATTAGAAGTGTTACAAGAGAGTAACAAACACAAAAAAGGAGGGGAGATAGAGAAGATAGATTTTGTTATTAAGGAAAGAAGGAGCAAACCACACCAGAGCACCCCCCAACCACCCATGAAGATAAGAAAAGAAAATACAAGATAAGATTAGAGAATAAAAGATAAGATATGGTAAGATACATAAGACATGGTAAGATTCAATATGATAAGATGAGATAAGATAAGAAAGGATGGAATTTCCTTTATAGTGAGCTTGACTATGAAAACCCCCCCAGATCACTGACATTAAGTTGTAGCCTCGTTTCCATTTCTATTCCTATTCAGGAGAATGTGTAGATAAGTGTGTAAAAAGAAGATAGAAATGTTGTTGTTTTTGTTTAAGTAGAGGTTTTACGGCGCTCACAACTGCAAAAGGTCATATGAGCGCCAAGGGGAGGATGTCAACAGAGAAGTCCTTACAGGGAATCAGACTTACTCTGCTCACCTCTCTCGCTTCAACAGCACAAAGTCTGCTTTGACTATCAAGGTACCCCGGAAATAGCGGGTCACAAGAGTGTGACAAACATACAAAAGAAGTAGAGGAAAATGAAAATAGTAAGGATTAGGAGAAAAAAAAGCAGCAGTTCCCTGTTGTAGTTCAGGCACAGTAATGAGCATGACATTGCTGGATCAGCCCATTTACAATTGTACCATGCATTAGAATGAGAAATGTTCCCCCTGTGGGAATGGCCTAAAGACACTTCAGTCAGTAGCACTGCCCCAGGGGGTGAAGATAGAATTTTAGAAACGAAACCATAATTCCAATCATTAATGACATGGAACACAAGCATTACCTTGTAGATATACAAAAAAGAAGACAGAACTAACAACCCAAAAAAAAAATCTTAATTCCAATTAAGAATGACAGGGCACATGCAGCATAGTTATTTACCTTTTCTGGGTCAGCAGTCTGAGCAGGGTAATTTTTACCGACAAACACAACAATAGGACGGCCAAAGTGATCCACTCCGGTACGGTACAAACAATGGTAGGCAGCCACATCTGTGAGATCTTCCGACTTAGCCCGCTGGAGTAACCTGTCGTACCTGCCAACAGTTTCGGAATCATCTTTCCATAAAACAATTTGCCTGAATAAAGTTTATTCTGCAGTTGTAACTGTACATATTTTTACATTGTCATCGACACACTTTAGATTACAAAGTGGTTTGCATAAACACACAATGGAGAAGGTTCTACAATTTTCACAATATTCAGACAGTAAAACAATGATAAAAAGCTTTCATATATTCACTTTGTTTTCCAGATCTGACTTTCAAATGTTAAAGTGGGACCAGTAATTAACTTCAAAACAAATTGTTGTGGTCACACTGAAAATCCTTCAGAATTTCAACTAATGACAGTACCTGATGCAAAGTATAGCCAGTGTTACTCAGATTCGTAAAATTGCATTGAAAATGCAGACACACAATAATACAAAACAATACTTTTTAGTTTTAGTAGAGTTTTTACAGCGCTCGCAACTGCATAAGGTCATATGAGCACCAAGGGGTGGATGTCAACAGAGAAGTCCATACAGGGAATCTGGCTTACTCTGCTCACCTCTCTAGCCTCAACAGCACAAAGTCTGCTTCGACTATCAAGGCACTCCGCAAATAGTGGGTCACAAGAGTGTGACAAACATACAAAAGAAGTAGATGACAAATGACGATAGTAAGGATTAGGAAAGAAAAAGCAGCAGTCCCTGTTGCAGTTCAGGCACAGTTATGAGCATGACATTGATGAATCAGCCCATTTACAATTCTACTGAGCATAAGAACATGTTAATGACCGCCTTTGGGAATGGCCTAAAGACACTCCAGTCAGTAGCATCGCTCCGCGGGGTGAAACAATACTTTTTAAAAAAACCCCAACTAAACTATTTGCTATCCCGAGATATTCTAGCGATGTGAAAAACAAGCTATAGACAAATAATTAAATTTATAGTAAGCCATTTACACATTTGTCATTTTCAATATAGGCCCACCTTCGACGAACTTCCAGCTTTTTTGCCTCTGCAGTGTTCTGCTGTGCCATATGGCGGGATTTCACTTTGTCAGGGTCTTCCTCCATGTTGGCAAAGGGATGGTGGCCGACGTCCAAGGCCATGGACTGAGCAAACTCTTTGTTCAGGTCGATGGTCTGCTCAAATTCTTCATCTGTAGCCTCTGTGCAGATTGAAGAAACAGAATCCGAGTAAGTGTATGGGTTTCAAGCCCTGATCAACAATATTAGGTTATTTAATGAGCGAGACCTTCGAATTCAATGTCCCTCTCCAACAGGACAAAGCAAAATGGGTTGAAAGTCTTGAAAAACTTGAGATGACCCGGGTTAAAAAAACGTCCAGTATGGGGTTCGAACCAGGACCATCTGCTCTGTAGTCCAGTGTGATACCAATTGAACGCCCAAAAATTCCAAATAAGTAAACGACATATGTAGCAATGATGAGTTTTTGGCGTACAGTACAAATGATTATCTTGGACAGGAGGCCGTTAAAGATTGTACATACTAGAATAGCTTCCTCTTAAGCTTGAGAACTGCACATAATCTTTCCATACACAATGTCGGAGCATTGGAAGGTTACATGATACAGAAGCTATGCTCTGCTTCTTTCTTTTCCCTCGATCACTCTTTTACTATACTTGTCTTTTTTTGTGTGTGCACAATCTACACTGTGCCGGTACTCTACGTCTCAAATGAAAGAATGCTTAAACTATTTTCACTTTTCTCCAATTTCATTTCTATTATTATTTTAAAAAAGTAAATTTATTAATGATAGATTTTCAGAGAATTCAAAGTTTCTTCACATTGTAAACAGGACAGACAGACAGATACAGATACACATGAAAGCACATGCACACACGTACACACACATACTTAATGCAGCAAAGGTAGGCTTGTCCAAGATTCTAATCTGACGCTCTTTAATCACAGGTTCACCGTCTTCGTTTCCAATATCACTGGGCAGATGGTCAAGAGCTTCGTCTTCTTCACTAGAATTCCTTGGGAAGTACAATGGAAGAATTTTTCTATACACTTCCTGAAAATGAAAAAAGTCAAGAGTGAGTATTTTAAAATACTTGCTCCAGTATAAAGATAATACAGGTAAAAAGAAGATAGTATACATACACAGATATGACTAGCTCTGAAATTACTTCAATCTTTTTATTTGAAATTGATTTATCAACATTTATTCAAGAAAAAAAAAATTGTCAAGGTTCAAACATTTCATTTTTCAAAAGAAACTGACGTCTATAGAAGAATTCACTGTGACAAAAATTGTGGCGACAAAAGCTGTACAGAATGCCTTTGCACATAGATTCCCATTCACTTGGGAAATAAAAAAAGCAAAAACCTTTGTGTACCGTAACTAATGCTGAACGAACAATTATATTGGAAGAATTCAGAACATTTTTTAAACGGGCTTGTTCAGTTTGATGAGTGACTGCGAAGCTCTGAAGTTATTTATAAATCTTTACTTACCAAATTTTCTTCTGTGCATGCAAAAACGATGAGATCAATAGCTTCGGGATGTTTTTCTAGGAAGCGTCTAACTGTACCTGAAAGGAATAAGAAGAAAAAGAGTACATAATAAGATTCAGAAGGACAAAATCCCCTCATGTTAAGAAATAGTGACATAATTCACCTTTGCGCTTGTGGCATACAGTATTCTTTTATTTTATGATTAAAGTCTAGTAAGCACATAGTAAAATTGGCAGAATGCAAAAATCTTTCCAAACGTACGAATTTCGCTAAGCACTCGTTTCAGATTAAAAAAACCCAACATATATAAGACCTGAAAATCTGTTTGCTATTTATATGCGTGTTACTGTTAGGTTAAGTTATATGCAAGCTAGACTATATATTTTTTTAAGTTGAAGTTTTTTTTAAAGTCCCCATCAACACACTTTGAATCAATTTAGCAGGCGGGCCTTGACCCTGCCAGTTAGGGCGAAAGCTGTGCTGAGAGGGAAATAACTTCCTAGCGGAAAGACAGAGATAATTGATACTAATTCTCCACACACAGGAATTAAACTAGGGTCTTCTGCATAGGGCTGTGAAGTACCTAACCGCTACATCACAGATGCCGGAACACAGCATTCATATAAAAACTTAATGCAATAGCTTGAACAAACTTTATCCAAATAAAAGCTAACTATTCTTAAAATATTCTGCAGTGTTCAACTCTAAGATTGTTTATTTCTCTGCATCTACCCATGCAGCAGACTAGACTAGCACATACATAGCCAACAGGCACATAGAGAACAGATTTACTGGCCCTGTACTTTTTTTCTCATGCATGTATATTCTTTGTATTCAAAATATGAACATAGCGAAATTCGTTCATTACGGAAAGATATCTGTGTCCTGCTGATTTTGTTACACGTGTGCAACACTGTATGTTCAAGACAGCCATTAAAACAAAAAATCCAGTAACAATTTTGCAGACTTCAACTTTTTGTAACTCTAAATACCACTCCTCGACATCTGAAAATGTTTTGATTCCTGGAGGAAATACGACAACGCAGATCAAAGGCAGTGTACAGACTACAAAGATCACCAGACTTTGGAGACATTTTCTATTTTGCTCTCCTGACTGCTCAATCTAGTAGTTCAAAGGCAAGGAGGAGGGTATGGTAATCTATAGCTGCCAGCTTTACAAAACCGAAAAACGAAAGTAAGTTCAAATTAAAAAACAGAAACAATGAACTGTTACAAAAAAGTAGCACATTCTTACGTATTGCTATATGAGCTCCTTTCTCAGGGGGATAGTTTCTGCGGACTGTGTGGATTGCTCCAAGACCAAGGACTTTGATTTCTGTCTCTCTGAAAACACAAAAAAGGAAATATTACACAGAAACAGTTATAGGGTTGCTCTCTTACAAGGGGATTACTAAGTTGAACTTTGAGAAGGGAAAGGGGGGGGGGGGTGGGTAGGTGGTCTGGTGGTCAGATGGGGTCATTATAAAAAAGAAAAAAACACAAGGGGGGGGGGGGGGGGGAGAGAGTGAAGTGGTCATTTGTATAGGTGATTGTTTTCAAAAAGTGGCTGTTAGAACAGGCGTGACCATAATTTATTTAGCTGGAAAAAAGATCCTTCTGTAAAGAACTTCAGGAATAATATTGAAGGTCATACAAAGTGCTCACAAAACCTTCGGCATAGCTGCCAAAAACTGACTCGATCCATGCAGCGGGTCAAGATGGTGGGTACTGGCTGAGTAAACCCCCCCCCCTCCTCCCCCAAAACCCTTAACACACACACTTTTCTGTATTCAATAGATTCAAGCTAGTCAAAGTAGACCTTCAGCTAAAGATCTCTCCAATTGACTTATGAGCTACGTTCTTCTTCTTATTTGCATATCCTATCTCTTGTTGTTGTTGTTAGCGATCCAGTAGCATCTGAGCGTTAACTCTTCTGCATGATGCCATTCGGTAATAGTTGCATGTTTGTTCTAACTGTTGTCTTGAGGAGTAGAGGCAATTAGATGTGTGGGGTAGCTTGGGAAGAAAACATCCCCTTAAATCAGTTAGTTTTCTACAGAAAAACAGATGATGTTCCACTGTCTCTGAGGGGTAGTCACACAGTGGGCAGGCAGCAGACTGCTTTACTCCAATTCGGTTGAGATGTTGGTTGAGGGGTACATGTTGTGTTCTAAGTTGGAAGATTATGGATTGATCTCCCCTCCTCAACTCATTGATTGGATCTTTGACCAGTGGTTTATTCATGTGGCCATACATCCTCCTTCCTGTATCCTATCTCTTAACACTCCACCTACGCAGAACGAGCAACACTTATCCCCACAGACCAGGATACGGTAGCGGTACAAGCTATATCACACTGGCGCCGATCGGCGTCCCGTGGGGGCAAAGCGTTAAAAGTCAATACCTTTCCTTCAGCATAGGCAAGTTCATGAAGAACAGTACTAGAAAAGAGAGAAACCATATTTTACTAAAAGAAAACTGACTACAGTACTCAGATCTTCCAAAACATATTTAACACTTTTTTAACCTACAAGCTGACTGCTATGCTACTGCCATTATGACAAAACCATTCCTGTTACTTACTTGCATATCTGTAGGATTGTCCTATAGCAGCTAAACAGAGCGCTCTCGGCGGCTGTAATATACTTAACGTTGTAGCGTGGACCCACTGAGTGGATGACATAACGTGCTGGTAGTTGATGGCCTTTGCTGAGTTTTGCTTCCCCAGTCTTGCACACTGAAAAGGTAAAATAAGGTAAGTTAAGATAAGATAAAATAAGATAAGGTAAGATGAGCTGAGATAACAGTTTATTGATCTCCGGAAAGAGAAATTTGTTGCAACATGGTTATTACGTACATGCACACAAATATTCATCACCATACATATACATACACAAATGCAAACACACATAAATAGTCATCGGGTGAAATACAAAATAACAGAATGGAAAAAAAAAAAGTATAAAACCTGGCAAGAGCTACCTTTTAGACCCATGTTCCATTTCAATAACCCGAGATCAAATCTATCTACATACTTGACTTAGATATCCTGATATCTTTTCAAAAACCCTTTGATTTATGCATAGTTGCTTTGGTGGCCATGGGAACGAGAGCCGTTTTTAAAATAATCAAGACGGAAGATGTGCCACAGGCCTCTCTATTCGTTGACTAAATGTCTCCAAAATTGGTGAGAATGTGCCAGTGCTTATTGGATACTTTCGTACACTAGGATTTTGGGATATGTTTCAAAGTAATTAAAACTGTTATCTATGTGGGTAACAAAATCACTTGTAAATTAAGACTGTTGAAATTTTCTGATTTCATATAACGTGTGAAACTTTGCTTGCATGCAAACAAGGCTTCCTGAAAGTTTCATGCAAACAGGATAAAAAGTATAGGAGTAGTGGGTAAATAACTATCCAAAAAATGCTGTTTTGAGAAAATAAAGCCATTAGTTGTAAAAATCTGACAAATGTTGTGCCATCTTCAAGTTTTCGAAGGTTGTAAACTTATATTTCACACCAGCTTTGTCATTTGACAATTCATTACTAATATCTACAATCCCGTAGAACCTTTTTAATGTTAAAATGCCACTTAAGTACAAAGGAAAACATACATCCGCATTTGTTCTTTGCCAAGCAAAACAAAACATGGTCACTAACCTCGTAAATCCTCTTGCACCTCTTTAAACAGCGCCTGTCCACCCTGTCTGTACAGCTCATCACTGAGTGAATTTCTATCATTCATGTGCTCATTGGTTGCATGGGTAATGGCATTAACATTCAGCTTTGTGATATTCCCAGACCTAAACAATAAAAAAAAATTCTCTATATAAACAAGTGCAAAATAACTCATTCAAAAAACAAAATATCGTTCTCTTCACTGCCGGAAGTTTTGAAGGGGAGGGGTTTACCTAATTTATATGGAAACCAAAATGTGGCCTAGAGGACTCGTGCTCTCCTCTCTTACCGAAGGTGATAGATTCAAATTCGGTCTAGACCTGCATGTCTAATTTTCTCTTCTTTTTCTGCATCTTCTGCTTTAATTTTTTTGTTCTCACCTCCTTTTTCCTCATCTTCCTCCCCTTTCTTAAAAAAAGTCTCTCTTGCTTACTCAGAGAGGGATGGAGGTGGGGGGGAATGGATAATGGAGGGTGGGGGGTGGCCTCCTGACTCCATGAAAGTTAGAATGTTATAAATGCATTAGAGAGGGCAGTGAAATTATTGCATTTAAATAACCATGTACAGGCCTTATAGAACATATTATCATTGCGGTAGACAGTCAGCTACACTACGGTCAACTATACAGGACTTACAGTAGATCATATTTTCAAGGAAAAACATCAAGTGAACCTGAATGAAAAATTCACTGCGCCAACTTCTGATCCTTAGTTTGGTTTGTTAAAGAATGGGTCAGTTGATATCCAATGTGCAACAAGCATTATATAATTATCCCCCCACACTCCCCCAAATCATTTCAGATTTACACAAATCTGAAATAAGAACTATTTTTTGTTACAGAAGGAAAGTCTGACAGCTTCCACAATTTTCCTTCTGAACTCACAAGAGACCACAAAATATAAACTCATACCAAAGAGCTATTTTTGCATTCAGGTCATTTCTCCAGGGGAAGGGGGATCCATCTTCTTCACCCACATTCTCTCTGGGTTGCTCCAGTAATTTTGTAAAGTTCCATCTTGTAATTGTGGACGGCTCAACAATTTCATCTCGAGTTCCCAGAGAGTCCATTTTGGCTGAAAGAAAGAGGGAAGGGCATTAATGCAGCTCAGACATTTTTACTCCAAATCCATGTGCCACAATTTGGGGGGGGGGGGGGGGGGGGGTGTTGCATGATTGCAATCTACACATAAGATTATAGCACAGGGTACAGTGCTGCCTCTCTATTACACAATCAAAATGGTCCCCAAAATTTTTACAATAATTCGTAAAGAATTGTATGGGAGAGGGAGTCGATTCAATATTTTTGTATACTGTTATACTTTACATTTTTTGGAACATTGTTCTCTGGAAAAGAAATGAGATGAACACTATAGCATCCCATGCTAAAATTAGGGCAAACTATGAGTTTGCATTCAGCCTTTCTCATCTGGCACATCCAATTTTGTTTTACCCATGCACACTGTGTTCAGCATCCGATAATTTGTAGAATTAAATACTCAAGGCAACAAGTCTTCATGTCTCTCAGTGCTAACAAAAATGTTTCACACATCCTGCAAACAATTTCAGTTAGGAATAGAGAAGGGAATGTTTTTATTTTTAACAACTCCCCTCCTCCCAAACAAAAACAAATAAAAATTTAATGGGCATTTAGCAGCAGTCTAAAGCCTACAGCCGTCTCTTGTTGCGACCTCTGACTGAGAAGAAGGGAATGGTTTGTATCCTTTATTTGCATCAGTCCTGCCTTGGTCTGCCTGTGGCCTTAGCTTTAAAGTGCACACACAAGACGTCCACCTGAATTCACTAGGTTAACACTTTGCCCCCCCCCCCCCCCCCCCCGGGATGCCGATCGGTGACGGTAAGAAGCCGTCCCTTTTCCCCACAGGACGCCGATCGGTGCCGGTGTCATATAGTGTGTACCGCACCTGTATCCTGGTCTGTGGGGATAAGGTTGCGCATGTGGGTGGAAAGTGTTAAACAGCCACTTTTTTCTCCTCCCCAATACAATCATGGCCATGGGTGGCTGGCAAAAACAATATTAACAATGAGTCACAATGGTAATAGACTAATACAAAAAAAGGTAGGGAATTGAGCGAAACACAATTTTAACAACTTTTTACAATAAAAGTTAGGTACTCTAATTGAGCTCTCAATCTCATGGATCATGAGTGGAGTCATAGAGACTAAACATTACTGCTCATGGATGATGGAGACGACTTGGATACTTTCAGTACAGTAGAATATAATATGACTATAGCGCCACCTGCTGCAGTAGGACCTTACTAAACAGAAATTCCCTTTTTTTGTTGTCTATGAAACTCAATACATGAAGCTACAGCGAGCACCTAGTCCTAGCACACCTCTGTGATTGGCCCAAATATAATGATATAGAAATATGACGTATTTCCGCCATCTATTTTTGTCATCTTCCGGGGCTTCCCCCAAGACTCTTGGGTTTTCAAGACTCTTGGGTTTTCCTCGCCAGTAACTGTTGACTACATCTCGTCGTGTATGTTGGATTTTTTTGTTGAATAATTTATGTTATCTTTTACAATCTCAGCAATTCTCGTTCCATAAATTTAAATTTACCTTCTCGTCAAAGTTGTACACACACACACACAAGCGTGTGGGCACACATACACACACACACGCGTGCACGCACACACACACACACACAAATGGTCGTGCACATACAGCTCAAGCAGTCGGCAATGAAACGTAGCGACGTAGCCCATCACAAGTTAAGTGGCTAAAGGGGGCCGGCCAACTGGCGAGAGAATCCACAGAAGACGATAAAAATAGATGGCGGAAATACATCATCTATATTTGGGCCAATCACAGAGGTGTGCTAGGTGCTCGCTGCAGCTTCATGTAAACTCAATAAACTGTGCTCGGGTATAACAGGGCAAGGAAAGGCCCGAACTTGGATACAGCGAGAGAGATCAAGTGAGCTCTAGCTGGGGGAAGGGGGGGTTAGTGCTGTAGGCGGGATCAAAACCGCCAGTCAGCGGCCTTGACAGTCCAATGATGAGTAAGTTGAGAAAGGAACGCCTTATATGTGGGGGTGGGGGGCTGTAGGTGGGCTCCAAACAGACAGTCAGCGGTGCAGCATAGTGATTGACCAGTCCAGTGATGAAAGTGAGGTGCGGCAGGCGGCAGACAGAGATGGTGCGGAGCTGGAGAGATGCATTACGTGAGCCACTCCAAAAGTGGCTAGGCCAAAAAGACAGTAAAAGAAGAGGAGAGCGTGTTGTGTGTGCTTTTCCTGTAATTCCCCTTTACATTCCAGCCTATAGATCTAGCTGGAACTTGCCTCCTACAGCAGGATTTTTCTTCTGCAACTTAAAAGTTAAAGTCCCGCTATCATAGCCAGCCACGTTCTACAGTAGTTACTGACACTGTACTGACTAATCTATCATTCTGATGCAACGGAAAGACTTCCAAAACGAGCGCCCACCCCAAACACTACCCCTAGCCCTCTAGTTCTACTGTCTCATAGATCTGATCTAGACTCTAGTGGTCGCTCGTTACGGGGGAAGTCCTGATAGTCTACAACTTCAGTTTCGTTAAATTTTTCGGAGCCCTAAAAATTGGATTTGAACCTGTCTATCACTATGCGTCAATTCTGATCAGTTACACATAATGAGAGGATACATAAAGGGGGTGAAGTGACTTGGACAGGAAACACAACAGCATCATGACATGAATTTTACCAACAAACCTTACACAAAAGATCACGAGACTTTCTTGAGCTATACAACTCGTTCTGTTGTCTGCTTTTATTCCACCATTTTGGCAAATAACAAGTCATGTGATACAGACAAGGGGCATAACGCTAAAGAAATTATGGAGAGCCTTTTCTGTCGGATTGCCGACCTTCACAAGGAAGCTTCGGGGTTTTTAGTTTTTAGTCTTTAGTTTTTTTTACCATTGAAAAAGCAACTGACGAATAGTCTGTTCAATACTGCTCACTACTCATGTAATGCCACGGTCTACTTCATTGACAATTAAAATAAATTGTGATAAAAGCTTGGCTCGGAAGGAAAAGAATAAACATTAAATGGGTTAAGTAGCCACTGATACATTATTGTACTTTAAATAGGCCTATATACTACTAGATTCTATATAGTTTACTTTTCCCTCTTCCAATTTGACAAAAAGCGCCTTTATGTTGCAAACATAGTGGGGTGGGTTTAGCTACACACTGGGCCAACGACGCGCGTCGGTGGATTGAGGCCAAGCTCCGTGCCCCGCGCCATCCATCTCTTGACCAGAGGCAGGGGTCTCTTCTCGCAATGACAAGGCTATGAGTGCAAGAAGGTAACCCATTGTTAGTGTGGCTTAGTTTTACACTTTCAACATTATTCTAGCTTCGATTTCAGTCTCTTTTTGACTTGGTATAAATTCACGGAGTTGAAGTGATGGGCTCGTGGTCAAAAGAAAGAACGTTGGAATTCATCAAATTGTATAGATATCACAGATGTCTCTGGGATGTAAAAAGCAGAGATTACTCGAATAAAATCAAGAGGGAGAGAGCGTATGATGAGATGGTAGCATTTGTCAAATCGTTTTACCCCGATGCAAACAAGGACACTGTTGTTTGTAAAATCAGCAACCTTCGTAGCTCTTGGAGAAAAGAGCGAAAAAAGATCCTTTCTTCCCAGGTCTCTGGGGCGGGCTCTGAGGAGGAACATGTGCACACTCCAAGTCTGTTTTATTTCGACAGCCTGAAATTCATCGCTGACGCACAGTTTGCAAGAAAACGGGGAGAAAGCAGTAGACATGATGGTTTTAACAATACAAGCACGGCTCAGGAATCTGACAAGGTATAAAAAAAACCCTGTAAAAAAATAAACCAAAACCCAAATACATGTACCCTTCCATCCTCAACTTCACGAGTAGCCACATACATAGTCTTTCTTTCTTCGTTGTTTCTTTCTATAGACTATACATCAAGTCTTCCTTTCATATACCTGGCTTTCACTTTTCTTTATAACACCACCTTTCATTTCAAGTTTCTTTTCTATCTTTCTTTATTTCCTTTTTTCTTTTCGGAACTTTTAGCTTTCTCTCCCGAACATATGTTAAAGATACAAAACAGTGGTTTCATGCGATCTATCTCTAATTATCGTGAGGGATCACGAAGTCACAAACCACAGTAAATTCCCTTTGCTATGGAACGCTAGTTTTTGTTTGTCTGTATTGTGCTTGTTTGCTTGTTTAGGGGATTGCGCGGAGAAGGTCTCAAGTGAGGAGTGACTGAGCCCAGAGTTTCAGGAGGAGGGAGAAAATTTCAACTACTAAATATTTTTATAATAAAGTCCTTTAGAAACAAACAGGTCACATTGAAGGATAGAATCTGGATCGAGCTTCACTTTTAGCCCAATCAGGAAAGGAAGGGAGGTCTGTGTAAAAAAAATTCTTTATGAACAGGAGGAGTAAGAACAAGAAAAAAATATTTTTTCAGAGTGAAAATTGGGAATAGGGGTGAACTTATTTTATTATAATTGAAGTTTTATATGCCCCCATTGACACTGTTAAGTGTTTAGATAATTTCGGAAGCGGGTTGCTTTGACTCTATCTGCCAGGGCCAACCTGTCCTTGGTTGGAGGGATACAACGTCCTGTGGAAAGACAGATATTTGCGATAATAATTCTCCTTTTTCAGGATGGTAGCCACACAAAACAAATGATTGGATGAGAGGAAGAGAGAGAGAGAGAGAGAGAGA